TAAGTGTAAAACATTAACATAAGAAACAAAAAAGTAATTTAATTATATCTTACAGTGTGGCAACATTGATTTATACTTTTTAGTTTTAAAAAAGAAGCCCTGACAGGGTGTACAGATTAGCTGGTTGCTGTCCTGTTCATTAGCATTTAAACTTGAATCAATTATTTACACTTAATACTAAAAATATGTCAGTTTTCGTACGATTAACAATGATGTATCGCTCATAAAAAAATAAATAAACACTTGTCAAACTGACTTGTTTGAACCCCTGTTGGTTCTGTGCAGCCGCTTGTTTCACTTATGCTTCCGTCTGGCTTACAGGAAGATGACACTAAAAGTCCTGCATGTGTTTACCAAAGGAAAGAGCTTTAAGTGTAGCTTCAGGGACACACTTAAAAAGCTATTTCTGGAGCCAACTCTGACAAAAAAATATCACTTACTACAAAACAAAACCCTTATGCATCAGTTATTACATAATAGTCTCTCTGTTACAATTTAAACACGGATGCTGCAGACTGTAACAGCACCTGTGTGCTTCTGCGTTAATTGCGTCACACCCACCCATCCGGTCAGTCAGTATCGGTGCGCGTCGAAACCTCCCGGCTGTTTACACCTGAGCAGCAACAACGGGAACACATATAATCAGGCGAAATAAACAGCAGCCTTACCAACGAGACGCCGCCGCCGCATCCCATTCGAGGCGTTCACCTGCTGTAACAGCCCCGCATATCCTCTTTACGCGGCGCAGACAGATCCGATTAAACCGAGAGTGGACAGAGAGCGCAACAAACCCAACAAACCCCCATGAAGGCGGACAACAAAAGCTGGTGCCCCCCGCCTCCTCCGATCATTTCCATGAGCAGAAAAGCCACAGGTGGATCCCGCTTTTGATCCAAATGCTGGGAAATGCCCGCTCAGCTCAACAGACCGCATTACTCATACTTTATTTCCAACTCAAAGTAAATAAGAAGCTGCTGAGTAAGTGTTACTGCACCTGCAGTGATGGTCCCGTTTCCGAGCTCTTCCTCTGCCAATTCCTCGGCATGTATAAATCAGCAGCAAGTCCACGAAGCGCTGAGATGGGGAGATGTTATTCCACGGGCCGAGGACATTGGGGAAAATTACCCCCACTACCAGTGGAACCTGTTGCCAGCACGTCCGACGGACCGTCCTCCCGCCTCGGCGGCGATTTGATTGGTGGGAAGCTGCTGAAGGGGGCGGGGCTTCCCTGCGCACTGACTTTCATCTCTCCTGCTGCACTTTAAAACACAATGCAGCCACTGTGTGACCCACTTCAGCTGTGTAATCAATGAGGAACGCTTTGCATGGCGGTATTATCTATAACAGCAGAACCAATGGGGGAAAAGAACCATAATTTGCTGCTACTTGAGATTACACTGCACTCCAACTTTAGTGATTAGGAAAATTATTCACTCCCCGTGAGCTGTTTCACGTTTAACCAGGTCACAACCACAAACCTTAAGACGTTTCATTAGGATTTTATGAAGTAAACTAGTGGAAGTGATACATGTTCAAAATGCTCTGAATAGTGCGGTGTGCTTTTTGCTCTGAACTCCTACATAAAATCCATCTGCCTTTAGAATTAGTGATATCTTGAACATTTTTAAATTGATTTGGATTTTGTGTTTCAGATGTTTTGAAATTTCAATGAAAAAAATGAAAACTGAAACTTTTTTAATATACCATTTTCAGATTGGATTGACATTTGACACTTTTAGCTTGTCAAAGCTAAAAGTGAAATTTGTGTGCTGGCAGAGAATAAATAAGACATTCTTTGCTGACTTCTGCAGTCTTCAATTTGACGAAGACATCTTAAGGGTAGTAAAAACGTAGTAATGTCTAGTCAAAGAGCCAGTTTTAGATTTTTGAAATGTAATTACAGATAGTCAAATGAAACCGATTTTATGCTAAAATGGCCTGCCATACTGCTTTCAAAGGAATAGGAATATGATGAGCTAATTGATACGCTCAGTCCAAGTAAAACAATGTTTTTGTTTTTTAATTCATGCTTTCATTTTCACATTTTCCAAAGGGTGTTAGTGTCTCACATAATGTGATTAAAACCTAAATGCAGTCATGTTGCATTTTCACTTCCATGCACCTGTAAAGTTTTTTACTTTTCTGTTGACACAAGCCATCCAATTTTACTGCAATTTCAAAATATCTCAATATGATGTTTCTTTTCACAGAGGCAGGACTTGATGTATATATATATAAAAAAAACTGAGTTACTGCTCTTACTGTTCCATATTGGTGCATTTACCTTAAATGCTGGAAAATGTCACGTATATACAGGCATGAAAAATAAACAGAAATTTCAGCCAAATGTTAAATTTGTTTTAGACTGCTCTTAAATTAAAGGATTAAAAATTCAATCTGATTAATCGATATAATCTAAAAGCAATTTGGCAAGTGCTAAAACCAAAGCACAAACAAATTGGCCAACTTTAATTTAATTAGCTGATTGGAGGAAAGCGAGTCTTTTTTTATTACTAAATCAACCAAAACTTAAGTTTCCACTTTATATGCTTTGTCCCTTAAAGGAGAGTAATTTAGTAATTTCTTTATTTTCAGCTTTCGTCCACAAAACTACAGCAGATATATTTCTGCTTTCATGTTTAATGTTTGTGACTAAACAAAAGCTTACAAAAAATAAATGTGTAAATCTTCTGCATAACCTTCAACATCAATGTCTAGGATAAAACAAAATTTTATGCGACTGTGTATGTAGAAAACAGCCAAATAATTCAAATAAAAGTGATAAACCAGACTTGGACAACATAACAAAAAACTGTTTTTACTTCAGAGTTTAGTACCTCTCCTTTCCCCACCGCCTGTAGTACTCGCAGGTTCCACCAGGAGGCACCAGAGCAGAGCAAGAGCACAGCACAAATAGTACAAAACAAAAAGGGAACGACTGAGAGCATGAAAATAAAGGCAACTTGGACATGTAATAAAGAAAAATGACAAGAAAGAATTAGATATAAACACCTTATACCGCAAGAAAAATGTAAAAATGGGTATTTCTGTTTCCTTTTTTTTCTCTTTAGTTATTTGGTCTACTTCAAGGTTTCCTGCAGTGAAGAATCCTGAAAATAAACGACAAGTTACTGCATTGGATCGCATGCATCTCCCTCCAATAGTTTCTGTTAAGGACTATGCACATCGTGATATGAGACATGATGTCACTACTTGCTATGCCAACACCATCCAAAAGCACTGGATTCACAATGTCATGAGTACTGCAGATAGAAAAAGAAAAACAAAAAAAAAACGGCCGTATAAAAAAATAAAACACCATGTATACAACCAAGACACGAGAACTCAACTCATCTTTTTTTTTTTTGTTCACTGGTTTTGACTCTGCGACTTGTTCACAAGTGATGGGAACTCTAGACAAATATTTCTGTCAGTATATTTACAAGTTTGTATCTTTTTTGTGTTTGTTTTTTGTTTATTTTTTTTTTTGGTGGCGAAACGTGGATGAGATCCCGACCTCGTACTCCTTTGGATTAACCGGCACTGGGTACAGAACGATGCGGTAAGTAGGGTTAAAGCGTGTGAGATTCAGCTTCCACGATACACTTAATACTGACATGTTTATACTGCCATACACTGATGCATCGTTTTCAGTTTTTCCCCCTTGCTTGCAGTAAAAGGCCAACAATGTGAAAGGGCAGTGCTGAACTGAACGTTTCAGTAGAAAACTAAGCTGTGAATTCATGGGACCTTTTTACAGGGTTCCTACACGTTTGTCTGGTAAAAAGTTTCCAAAGTTCCCAGTCCTTTAAGATCATTTTCAGATATAAACACACACAAAATCACTTAATTTATGGCTAATTTTTCTTTTTTTAACCAGGTATCAGATAAAGAAGCTTCAAAAACAACAGGAAGAAAGAAGGAAGAATAAAAGGAAGGAAAGAATGGAAGAAAGTAGAGCTGGGCAAACTTAGATTTTAAGAATAAAATCTCAGATTTTTATCATGCCAGACTAAATTTTTTTTATTTTAATTCATCCCCTCCATTTTCTTTTCAGAAAAGGACAAAAAACAAAAATATTTTCAAAAAGTGGCTTTTATTTCATCGCTTCTGTAAACTGAACAACAGAGTATAAGGGCCAGGCTATGAGAATTTGTTTAATTATGAGAATATAGACAAAATATTAAGAGAAAAAACTCAATTCTAGCAGAAAAAATTTAATATTACACGGAAAAAGTTGTTTTAATGAGAAAACAGTGTAGTTATCAGGATCTGATGTGAGTTCATGTGCTTCCTTCTTTAAATATGCAGACGGTTTCAAAGTCCAGCTACTGATAATTTGACGCTGATGTGTTAAAATTTGAAGTTTTTCTATTAAGTATTATCTCTAAACCTTAAACCAAAGTATAACTTTACAAGATGCTCAACATTCCTCATTTTAATTCAACTTTGTGTTGGAATTCTAAAGAAATAATACTTTAATCGCCTAATATTACAGCTTTAGTCTGGTAAATTTATTTTTATCAAAAAATAAACAATCTTACAAAATAATCAAAGTAAATAATAATTTTGATTTTTAATTTTATATAACCTTAGCCTTGCCTTAATATTTTGTTGTAATATTATTTTGAATAATTTTTTTAAAAGAATTATTTTGTTTGAAATTCAAATTTTATTTGAATCTGTCATACAAAGAAGCAACTTTGGGTTTGCTGACATCACTCTGAACTCTGGAAACACAAAGAGTGCAAAAAATAAAATAAATCATGATTTTCCAAAAATTTAATCTTCAAAAATAAAAATTTGATTAATCAATAAAACCGATTTATCACCCAGTCCTACAAGAAAAGCAAAAAGAAGAACAGAATAGTGGAAAAAATGAAGTTTATGTAGGAGTCAAGTCACACAGAAAAGGACGTAATGAAAGGAAGAAGTAAAGAAGAAAGGGAATAAAGGAAGGACATTGAAGAAAAGAAGAGAAAAAAGGAAGGACAGATGGATGATAGGAGAAGGTAGAAACAAGAAAGTACTGGAAGGATAAAATGATGAATAGAAGGAAAGAAATAGAAAAACATTCCCTACTCATTTTCTTTTTTCCACACTTAACCAAATAGTTGAACCGCATTCCAGGCGTCTTCTAATTAAAATCAGTAATCTGCTGAACTCATACCAGTACAAAGCGAGTATTTAAACATCATGTCCCACCGCCTGATTTAATTTTCTGAGTGTGTGAGCTGGAAATACCGCCGTGCACGCAAACGGTTCAGTCAGTCAGTCAGTCAGTGCGGGAGTTTCTGTGCCAGTCAGTCAAGCGGTTTGAGGTAGTGTGTTGGTGTCAGTGCTTTGCTGATTGGCAGCCGGATTTCTCAATGTGGGTAACATTCATCATGATTTCATACTCTAATTGCCGGGGAGGGGAAGGAAAATTTATTTGCCTAGAGTCACTCAAAGTGCTACGTTTAAGCATCAGAGTCGATGAGTGTGTCGCTTTTGTGTAGTGAACGAGTAAAGGGCTGGCCGAGACGCAGCTGACATGGCACACGGGTCATTCAGTTAGATCAGAGTCCGTTTGTCCGATCGATGCTGCTCAGCTCTCGTTAGCCGCCACCAGCTGGCCTAAACCCTGGCGAACGTACACGGCCTGAATGTCCTTGGTCTTGATGCAGAAGTCACAAGCCCAAACGGCGGCGCTTTCCGTGGTCAGCAGCCCGTACGCCGGTTCTGTAAGGCCCGTACAGTCACGGTGGAACCAGCGCTGGCACGTGGCCTCGCAAAGGATGGCGTCCTGGTCGTCGTGCACTTCCGCCAAGCACATGCCGCAAGGGAAGACCATACCGGGTCCGCCGAGTTTTCCGGGACCTGAGCTGGGCCCGGTTGTCGGGGCTGTGGGTCCAGGAGGCAGGGGGGACTGGGTGTTGGGGGTCGAGGTGGAGTTTGAGGGGGGGTTGGGGTTGCTGCCAGGCGTGTTGCCTCCATTGTTGTTAGCTATGTTGTTCTGATTTGAGTTGGGGGCCGCGTTGGACAGCGGCCCACCGGAACCGGGAGTGTTGTTCTGCTGGTTGTAAGAGGAAGAGCCTGCAGAGTTCGGCGGAGTTGATTGTTGCTGCTGCTGATTGGAGTTGTTGGAGTTCGGGGTGTTGGTGTTGTTGGGGGGCTGCAGCTGACCGGACTGCGGGTGCTGGGGTTGACCCGATCCGTTCAGCGGACCGGTAGGAGAAGAGTTGGGGTTGGGTTGCGGTGGAGCTGACGGAGGTTGGCCAGGTGTGTTTGCACTTTGCGGTGGGACATCGGGGTGGCTGGGAAAGCCTCCACCTGGTTGTGAAGGCCCAGAGTTAGAAGGCGGGCCGGGTGTAGTGCTGTTATTCGGGGGGCCGTTGGGATTCATGTTAAGCTGCTGCTGCTGCTGCTGCTGCTGTTGCGGCGGAGGACCAGGCGGACCCCCTCCTCCACCAAAGTTCTTCCCATCCTCGCTGCCGGGCCCTGGTGGACTGGGGCCGGGGTAGGGGCCTTCCTGTGAGGGAGGAAACTGTCCTTGAGGAGGCATACCTGGCAACCCTCCGCCTACCATGTTGCCACCAGGGCCACCACCCATTCCACCCATCATGTTCATCCCAGGACCCATGCCTCCGCCCATGGGAGGCAAGGGCCCTCGTGGACCTCCACCTCCGGGCAACGGTGGGCTGTTGAACGGGTGTCCGCCCTGTCCGTGCTGCTGCTGGGGGGGCATGCCGAAACGAGGATGGGGCGGCCCACCTCCTCCAGGACCCCCCATTCCTCCTGGAGACAACATGGAGTTAAATCCTGGCCCCGGATGCATGGGGGGACTGAAGTTTGGTTGCATATTGAACTGAGAGGGGCCACCAGGAGGAAATCCACCTCCCCCACCTCCTCCACCACCACCGCCGCCTCCACCTCCTCCGCCTCCGAAGCCGGGCATTCCTCCAAAGCCTAACTGGTGGTGCGGTCCAGCGTTACTCGGAGGGCCGAAGGGCGGTCTGCGTCCAGGCTGACCACTTCCCGGTCCGCTCGGGCCTCCCATGAAGTTCATGCCTGGACCCAACCTGCCTCCACCTCCATACCCACCTCCTCCACCGGCACCTGGACTGGGGAGAAACGGAGTCCCACCTGGTCCGCCTGCCCCACTAGGTCTGGACGGAGGTCCAAAGTCATCATCAAATGGGTTGGAGGCGACCAGATGGTCCACCATGGGCGTGGGAGGCGGCGCAAACTCAGTGAGGTGGGAGAACCCCGCCGCCTGAAACAGAAGAAGTTTACTTTTTAAAATTTTAATGGAAATATCATCAGCATTCTGCAGATTTCAACACTCAAATTTAAGACTTTTTAAAACCATTATGGATGGAGTTTAAGACCTGTATATCCACAGAAATGTATGAACCTTTTCCAGCAAACTGGTGATAAACTTGCACTTACCCATGACGGATGCAAAAAAGCTAGCTAGCTAGCAAGGGCATGTTAGCAGTGAGTTAGCGCTAGCCTCAACCGTCTCGAGTCACAGAACGCAATGAAGATGTCTGACGCAAACTTTTGCCTGACAGTGAAGTCCCGTGAGAAACCCCCACACAGCCCCCCAAAAACATAGAATATACAAGATTAAATAGTCCTGTCAAAACAAAATTTAAGAATTAAAGGCCAACTAACTTCTGAAAAATTTATTTAAGGCTTTTTACAATTTTTTTAGGGATTGTTTATAAGGGAGGCAAAGCAAATGTGTGCAAAATAACTTCTTGAGAAACACACACCCAAAACCTCTTATTCAATTCACTTTCCCATTAAAGTAAAAAAAGAATAGACAATACAATTGACTGAAAACAACAAATAGCAAATGATAGTAGAATCCTAAGTAGCCGTAAAAATAAACAACTGGATGTTAGGAAGTACATATCAACTCTTCTTCTTTTTGTGCCTTTCAGATACACAGATTTTAGCTGCCAAGTAAAAACTAAAAGTAGGGCGTCTTTTTGGGTTTCTGTATTTGTATCCAATATACTTCAGATTGGATGTTAACAGCCCATTAATAAAAATAAATGTCAGGGAGTGTCAGTCCACCCTTTTTACCCTTTTCCCACCAAGCAGGTTAACTAAAAATAGTATAAACTGTGAAGAAATATGGAGATTTGAAATGTAATGCAATAAGTCACTGTTCTCTGAATGTCCAGATAGTGCTGGTAGCGTTGCAGGAGTTTTGGAGTCCTCTTCTTTGCTCTAAGTTTCTTAAAATTGAATGCAGTGGCTATAAAAAAAAGTATTCACCGCCTTTTTTGTTACTCTTATTAATCAACAAAAATTTTTTTGCTTGTTTTTATAAAAAAAATATAAAAAAAAACACTAGTGAAAACTGATTTCCACAAAATAATAACAAATTAAAATATGCAACATAAAATAAGTGCATAAATATTCACCTCCCTTTAAAATGAGTGACCTAATTCAACAGAGGTCCAGCCAATTTGTGCCAATAGTCTCAAAACGACTCACCTGCGTGCACTAACGCTGTCTGAAATAGGACAGTGCGATGTGGAATATAAATATGAAATGCCAAATTTCTTGAAACTGAATATGAAAAAATAGATTTGAATTTGAATGTTTTTCTTGCTTTCTTTTCTATAAAAGAAACAAAAAAAAAACATTTTCAAAAGGTGGCTTATATCTCAGTCATCCCTCCTGTGAGTTGTACAACAGAGAATAAGAGAAATTTTGTTTAGTTACAAGAAAATAGTCATAATATTATCAAAATAAAGATGCAATTTTACCAAAAAAAAAAAAAAGCATCTTGAAATTATGAAAAAGGAGTCGTTTGGCTGAGAAAAAAGCTTGAGTAATATATTTATTTTCCAGGTTGGAGTTTCCATAAACGTACTACTTTATTCTCCTAATATTCTCACTATGTTCTCGTAATTAAAAAAGAAAAAAGTCTTATAATTTCATCATAGAGCTAACCTGAATTCAAAATCCAATAAAACAGAAGCCGCAAAACACGCTTGTCAAACAAGATGGCCGGCCTCTGGCAGTGATGACATCACTTTGAGCTATGAGTGCACTGGAGAAAAAAAAAAATCCAGATTTTCCAAAAAAATGTACCCTTCAAAAACCAAAACTTTGATTAACCAATAAAACTGACTATTGTTTAAAGACACCTGTGTCTGGAATCAGATTTGCTTTTGCAGACAGACGTAGCTACTAAACCCCGACTCAAAAATATGTGCAATAGCTATGCATATATTTGTGCTTGTCAATTTGTATAAATCCAAGTTTTTCGTATTTTCTTCTAAATTAAAAAAGCCAATTTTGTGCATCTTGATCGACTTGAGACACAGCTTTTTAAGAGCTACCGTACATTGTCGAGGAAAACCTCGATGCACCCTCCTCACCTGAGTGGAAGATTTCCTGGCCTTCTTCTTCTCCGGGCTCTTCATCTGTGAAGCTGAAGTAGGAAGAAACAGAAGGAGGAGAAACTTGAGCAACTTAAAAAAAAAAACAAAAAAACATTCTCTTCATGCCTCACATTATTGATCCACCACCAATCAGGTGCAGCATCACATTTGGATTGGCCAATACCCCTTAGTGACAGAGTGGAGCAGCTTTAGACCTAGGGCCTCTTTTTCATGTCCAACAGTTGAGATGGATTCAATGATGGGACATAGACTGGCATGAGGACAAGATGCTGAACATCCAGGCGTTATCATCACCAACGTTATGAAGCCTTGAATCGCAAATGACCCAGGCAGACCAAATGACCCAGGCAAGAGGGAGAGAGGCCGCAAACAGAGGCAGAAGAGGTAAGGTCAATGAGGGAGACAGGAAAAGACTTCAGACATGAGAACGAGGAAACAGTACTGAAGATACATTTATAGCAAGATAGACGTAATAACCTGTTCACAGACTCACTCTGTGAGAAACAGCCACCACCGAAGACAGTCGTGAAGTTTACATATGGGGGAGGCGAAAAGTGATTTGCTAACAGCACCAGTGCAGCCCATTGCAGCGCAGTAATGGATGATTCCGATCTGATCGGGAGATGGGTGAAGGTAATTCCTACCTTTTCGTTTTCCTTGTCCCGCCAGTAGTCTCCCCGATTCGGAAGCCATTAGCTAATATGACTGTCGGTGAAGTGGCAAATCACCGTTCATATGCAAGGGAAAAAAAAAGTTACAAAAATGACGACGTCTTGAAGGCTACATGCCATCAGGTTGAGTCTGCCACAGAGGCCCGGAGGTCCAAAACACGACAATACGTTTAGGTTTTTCTTCTTCATCATCAATGGTGCAACATACTCTTTAATTGAAGAGTTTTGTCCGGAGTTGTTGTGTTTTGGACCTCAGGTTCAACCTCCCTGTCAGTCCTGTAACTACAGCATTGGCTAACACTTAAAAGTGAACTGGATTAGCTGGTACAATAACGCCGGCCCAGGTCTGCAAATATTTTAGCCACGGTGTCTGTCACGCCAGGATTTGGTCACCAAATCAACGTCAGACAAAAGTGACAACACTAGTGTTATGCAGCGGAAATTTACGGAGCTCATAAAGTGCCACAAGTTTAAATTAAATGGAAAATTAACCGATTTGGGTTAGTAAACAGTGTGCACAGATTTGCTGTCATATTTGTGTCAGTGTGCAGCAGGAATTGTACTGAGCTGTGTTTCCAGTAAAGAGGTAGTTCAACATGGTGATAATAACATAGAACCAGATATCAAGCAAGGGCTTAACAATTTCAAATTGTTTTTAATGCAGAAGGAAACAATGTACTGTGATAATTTCCTGTCCTGCTCTAATAAACAAACTCCAATTTAGGTTGTTTATAACCCTCAAAAACATGTCATATTTTTGGATTAATTTATGGTTAAAAAAATCTTCTTGGTCAGTAATTTTAAACATCAGACCATGTTACACTTTTGTTTAAATATTTGGGTTACTACCATGAAACCTTAGTATTTCTAGTCAAATTTAGCATCGCAACAATTAGTAAATCTCACTAGTTGTTACTAAAGGAAAAACGTCACAGAGAAGGTTAGAATCAGAGCGAGGAAAACTTCCATCGATGATGACTAGCATACAATTTAGCGACAGAACTGCAGGATTTTTTTTCATGTTATGTTTCCCTAGTTTTCAGATTTGGGTCTGATGTCATTCCCAGACCCAAGCTCTGGAATCTTAGTTCAAGTATTTTGAGGCGTTTATATATCGATAACCGCTGGGATAATCATTTGCTTTATAAAATAAAACAAAAACATGGAACATATATCAAAAATAACAAAATAATTCCTAAAGCTGGTCGATGAGCAATGGGTCTTCCATTGAAAGTGTCCAAATTGGTGCATTATATGCTTACCACATTTTTGTGTGATCTAAATCATACAGGTATCATTAGAATGTTTGAATTCTAGATGTTGATTATCCCATTTTGCATATCTGTGCACACGTTTCCTAAACTTATCAAACGGGTGTTCCCAACTTCTATTTTTATTACTACATCTGGCACTTGCAGGGCTCCGTACCAATTTCGTGTAGATGCAACCCAGCTTCTTTCTGTTGGTTGATGCTGGTTTTCGTACTACCAGCTGTTAGTCAGCAGATATACGGTACAGAGCTCCCCGTCCTCCTCTAATCACTTGCAGATGTTTGGTTAGCAACTTGCAGGACGGTACGTTTGCTAACCAGTTAGCCACGTTACCCAATGTGGCTAACCAGCAGCGTTGAGATTTTCACTCAAAACTCGTAAAAATCATAAACCAAACTCTGCCATATGTGTCTCTACAGTCATGTATGAGCAGGTGCAAATAATTTTAACACATATCACATAATGTATAGCACAAAGAAATCGATTAGGTTGTGTGAACTTGCTGTTTGCTATGCTAACATTAGCGAGTTAGCTGCAGATTGCTAGCCATCTGGCAGACTATCGTGGAAGCAAACTGTACCCTTTCTCCGATGCTTGCTCTGCTCTGCTGTCCTTTAAAATGAAACTCGCTGGTGTGTCATTGCCAGCAAACCAGTCCTCATACGGTGTGTGCTTGTTGATCCACCATTCAACTGTAATTCATTCAAAAACGCAAATTTCTGTCATAATTATCACGGCCTTTCTGCCGCTACCGGACAAAGAGGGAGAAGCAGGGGCAGCCAGCAGCACGGACGGTTACATTTCATCACACAAATAGGGGTGTTGTTAGGTGTTTACTACTTATTTTACCTCCACTTTTGGTAAATAAAATGCCCAGTTTGCTTGAATTCGATAGTACAAGCCCAAATAGAAAGGAATATCTATACCGCCTTGCAGAAAAAAAGCAACATGTTCTTATTTTAATTTCTAAAATAAAAAAAATCACACCCACACTTTTGGCTAGTCTAAAATATGCAGAGCTGGTCTAAGCAGCCTATTTCCCAACCTGCATTTCAATAATAAGGATTAAAACTAATATGCCACACATAAGTTTATTTATTTTAAGTGAATTTCTGTCTTGAACAGTAGTTGCATGAGTTGTGGTGAAACAACATTATTGTAAGTGCATGCTGCTAAATTTTAAACCTTGAGATATATTATATTATATTATATTATATTATATTATATTATATTATATTATAGAGAGGATCTTGTTTTCCTGAAAGTTTCCATACAGAATAAAAAAAATCCTATTAAGTCATTATATTTCTTCTGCTTTTATTGAATTTGTTTGAGATATTTGCTATTGTATTTGTGAATTGATAATAATTTTCTCATTGATTTTTGGTCACTGGCAATATATTTGTGCATTGTAATTTTGTATATATTTTTATTTTATTTTGTTTGTTTGTATTTTGTTATTTACATTTTATTCCATGCGTTTGTTTCCCCACAGTAAATTATCAGGATTTTACATTGTAGCACAAAACAAAAGCAAAACAAAACAAACAACATATATTCTGATAAATATATTTTGTAAAATCATAGGAATATTTATCATATGTAAGAAAATCTGTAAATATATGTAGAAAATTAAAAAAACCTATTAAAATGGGTAGTATTTTTTTCAAAGATGTTTTATTATTTTACAGATTCATTCATTCATTCTAAAAATTCTTTTGAATTTTTTTAATTTATCTGTAGATACATGTATTTTTAATTTATTTTATTTATTTTTTGCCAAAATAGTGGACAATTTGAATATTTTGAAAGAACCTTATTAATATTTAACAATGTTTTGTCCTTGGTTTCTGTAAAATAAAAAGAAGAAACAAGGAAAAGAAACCTGAAACATTGTTGGTGTAGAAAACATGTTTATAAATAGAGATATTTTTCATTGATTACTGACACGTGGGGAGTGCGAGGTGGCCAGGCTTGAAGGAGGGACCCAGGGCACCAGTGAATTTAGGACCACCACTGATTCTCCGCCCACCAGGGACTGCCTCCCCGTTGTTAAAGCAGATACCCCCCACACGGGCTCATTTATTTTGCTTTTTCCACTGTGGACGCTTGTAACCGACCCATTAGCCGCTCTGGGAATGGGACCAAAAATCACCATCAAGAAAAACTTTGCCTTTTTTCGGATGATCCCGCTCCGATGGCATCTTTTTATCCAAAGGGAATAAACTTTCTTTAAACTGAAAAAAGGAGCAAATGTAAGAAATTTTCAAATGGGATAAAACTTGAGTATTGTTTTTTTTTTCCCTACTAATCAGGCTTATGTTTTATTGGGGCCATTTTTTTAAAATAATTTTTTTAAAGTGAGGTGTGAAAATGTTCTGTCCATTAGAATAAAGCAGCGGAAGTCTATTGTTAGAGAGGCAGTGATTTTCTAAAGGTGCCTCCCTGGAGGCCCCTTTGCATGACGCTGAAAGGTGCAGGACGAGGCAGGAAAGTTTAGAGATCTCCATCCAAGGGGGAAAAAATGGCAAAGTGGTTCAAGGAATTCCCCCTGGCCCTGAAGAACGGTACGGACAAGATCCGGTCAGTCTCTGAGTCCGGCTCCCATCCGAGGGCTAATAAAGCCGGGCTGTTGATCAGCATCGGGACCAAAACGGGCCACCGGAAGAACTCCTCTGCAGACAGCGCAGCAGGAGGTGGAGGTGTCGGCTTGCTGTCCGGAAAGAACCGAAAAAACTCCGGCGCAGAGGTCAGCAGGAACGGGGTTGGTTCCCAGAAAGACGGGAAGGCTTGGGACACTTTGCTGGCCGGGAAAAGCCGCAAGAACTCCAAAGCAGAGGCGTTGTTGGAGGAGCAACACAGACCCCCGAAGACCTCCCCGCCCGCCTGCGCCTACATCAGCCGGATGATAAGAGTGGACAAACAGGACAAAAGCCCCAACTTTACAATCAGTGGTACCGCCGGCAGCCCAGTGAGCTCTGAAGCAGAGAAACCTGCAGCGCAGTCCAAAACGGGAACTGTGAGTTTTATTCTAAGAGCTCATTTTGACTCTCCTAAAATATATTTATTGTAACAATAAAAAGGAACCAGAAACCTGTTTAAAGAGCTGTAATTGTAATATGGACCGCCTCTGGCCCCGTATGTCCCGTATATGTTGTTTTAGTTTTATATTATTTAATTTTATTCTATAGTGTAAAATATATATATAAGAAACCCTGAGCCCAAAGTGCCACAGCATAACAAATAATTAGCTAAAATATTAAATATTTTATTATTTAAATAAAACTGTGATAATACATAAAAAACATTGTATAAATATTAATAATTTACTAGATATGTAAATAATTAGATTCTAAAATCAGGCAAAGATATTATTTATTTAACTATTTCATATTTTGTGTGCTATACGTTTTAATAAAATAATTTTGAACACTGTGATTTGCAAAATAAAGTCCAACATTTGAGTGGTCACCTGAATAGCAGTTTAACTGGAGACCAATCACCATTCACATATCAGTGCTAAGCCCCACCCACTGATTTTTGACAAAAAATATTCCCTAAAAGAATAACTGAATAAATACTGAAGTGCCATTTGTGCTTTTAAGATATAGTGAGTTCAAATTTAATCTCAATATGCATTTATTCAATCATGTATACATTACTGAAACATTTGTTTCTTTTTTATTTAATATATTAAATAAAAAAGACCATTTGAATGAGAAACATATCTAAAACTGGCAGGACTGAACAAGGACAACCGTGGCTTCAAGAGAATATCGGCACTTTTGATCCTCCATATTGAGTTGCAATGGTTTCTATCAAATACCCTGAAAATGTTGCATTTACTGAGTGAATAACTGCAAAGTTACCTATTCATACTTGCTTATTTGTTCTTTGGCAGTAATGTCCAGTGAGTGGAAATGACCAAAGAGACGCAGGTAGTCTGACTTTTTTTAAAAAAAGTGTGTGTAACACAAGAGATATTTGTTATCCTGTTCGGTTTGTATTCAGTTTCACTTCTACCTTGGGTGGGTTGTGGTCTACATGGACAGACACTTGAAAACACATTCGGGGGGCAGTTTTCTTTACTTAAATAGCTTATATAGAAAATTTAATTAGGATTCTATTAGATTTTGTTGTACTTTTTAATGGTAGGTCTAATATTAAAAATATAAATGTTTTAATTTGTGTACAAAATGTAATATTTTTCCTAAAATGACAGGTAAATACCAAAACATATGTGTCCTTAAAGCTTTTCTTATGGTAAAAGTACAAACACATGTTTTTAGTTTGTGATTCTTTGCATGTTGCATGCTAATCTGACATGTTTCTCCTACCTTCTCTAATGGGATAGCAGTAAACTGTCTGACTGCAGCTTCAGGAAAGGCATAAAAGTGAAGAAGCCTGGCTCCAGTCCAAACTCAGAAAAGACTCATTATTGTCTCATTTCCCCTCCTCCTCTCTGTGTCTGTGCCTCCCACTGTGCCCATCCCTCCCAGATTGTGTCACTCTGCTCCTCTCCACTGTTTGACCTTCTACCTTCGTCTTCCTCTGCCTCGATTACAAAACTGTTGGCAGACATATGAGGTCGTCACCTTCCTCTGGCTCAGTTTTGACCTACGCAGAGGCCCCTCCCTCCTTCGCTCTGCTTCGTCCCTCTCATTCATAACATTCTTTCCCTCTGGTGACTGCTGCCATGTTTTACGAAACTCAGTGGGATTGAAATCAGGAGCTGGCCAAAACCTTCGTCAGTTTATCCTAAAAAAAAGTATGATGGGGGGGAAAAAAAACATCAATAATTACACCAATTATAGTAGATATTAGAATTACATAGAGCTGGACGATATGGCTGAAAAATGTATCACGATGTAGGCATTTCACATCAGTCAATATCAATAATTATAGTTTTTTTTTTGTGTTTCAAAAATCCAAAATACAGCCAAATAGAGAAATTGTGAATAAAATATTCCATTTTGTTGTAAGGCTGGACAATATGGCTGACAAAAAAGTATCGCGATAAAAGTATTACATATCAGTCGATATTGATAATTATTGTTTAAAATATCTGAAACTCTACCAGTCTGATGGTGTGACCTTTCCTGTCTTATCCACAGTTTTCAACATCCACAGTATTTTTAAGGCACAGTGACAAAACCTTAAACTGCTGCTGTGCAAGTTACTCAGCAGGTTGTTGCTAGGTAACCACAAGTAAGTCAGTAGGTCGTTGCTAGGTAACCAAAGAGTGAGTGAGTTGGTAAATGCCATTCACTTTTCCCTCCTTTAGCTGACCGGGAAGAGTTGAGCAGTTGTGTACACTGTTAAAAAAAAAAAGAAAGCGTTTTTAATTCATGGTATTTATACGGTAAAATTCAAGCAACCACAGTGGCCAGTACTTTACCGCAAATCAGAGACGTTTCATAATTTCTTTTTACAGTGTACATTTGACGAAAAAAATGTGTTAGTAAACCATGAACATTACACTAAATATTCTAAAGAACAATCTAACACCATTTTCCCAAGCAGAAATTCTATCATTTATTCATTTTGAAATGAATTTGACTTGATTACTGTGTAAATTTAACCTCAAACATGAGTTTCGTCTATGAGTTCACAGTTTAAAGGATCTACACCCCCCAAATGACTGTTTTTCCTGTGCTTTCCTGATCTAGTTGATCATTGTGGAGGATTACGCAGACCCGTTCGATGCCCAGAAGACCAAAGAGCAGAGGGACGCAGAGAGGGTCGGGGAGAACGACGGCTACATGGAGCCGTACGATGCAC